CTCACTTGCAAGTCATGTGGTCATTTCATGATCACGGGAGGCCCTCATCATTCGTGCTGTAAGTGTTGGGACGTCCTTCGCACCAAAGATACTTGATTTGAGCAGTGCACCTCCCTCTCAAAACTGGCTTTCAGAAAATTGATGGAATCCATTAAAAAGGGTGAGTTGAAGCAGAAAACAGCAATGGAATCTATGTTTGATTCTTGCCTTGCACCCACATCAATGGAGGTGGAGCATCTGAAGCTCCATCAAGAAGAGGCCAAGAGACTGCAGGATGGACAAACGAAAAGAAAAGAAAAGCCTGACCCATCAATCACCAAGGCCATATGGCTGTCCGAGGGGGCATCCAATTCATCACCACTCAGCTGTACAGGTAGAAGTCACCAGGCTTTCCCTAATCAAGATTCCTGTCCAGGATGGTTACCACAAGGCAGCAAAGATTGTCACACAGAGAAACAGCTATCCATCTGATCACTGCACAGTTCCGGCATGGACAAGATGGGCAGCTAGACATCTACTTTTAAAAGTCCTTCCCAATCGCTGCACGGTACCCACATGGACTCTAGCTGCAAGGCAACAACCATTATGGAGTCATCCCAGTCGCAGGCTTCAAGAAGTACAAGCCAACGGTTTCACTGGCTCCTCAGAAATGCATGGAATATGCTATGGCCTCAAGATGGGATACACTTCTCATGGACGACAACCCCAGCGGGTTTTTTCAAGACCATGCTAAACATCCGGGCTCCGTTAGCCACAGCATGATATCACAGACTCCATGGACTTGGATCATTCCGTAATCCTGGTCATCGTCGGATGAAGACACACATTGGGACCAAACAGAATCCATGACAGCTATGGACATTAAGAGTCATTCTACTTCACTATGACCCTACGAATTCCGAAGCAGATGTTGAGGATGAAGATTATGCAGACTCTGTGAGAGATTGTGACAATAGCCTCTTTTTTTCGGAGTTAGTGGAACAATTATACCACCTCATGACTGTCCAACAACCTAAGATGGAGGAAAGAGAATTACAGCAGACGCTTGAATACACAGGCTGCCACATCCCGGCTCCATCTTCACATTTGCATCATACTCTCCTGTAGCCAGGTTATGCACATAAAGTTATCAACCATCTGACAATCAACTGAAGCTGAGGCATGACCTGCTTTGAAGAGGAAACTATGCCAGACTCAAAACTGCCCTCTCCCAGTGTCACAGGTTTTGGATGGGGATTTCCTCAAACTGGTCTGTTCACCAAATACCAGACTCACATTACCCTCATCATGACTGAAGTTTTTGGCATCAGCAAACAAGCACTCTATGGACATCGGAGCATACATTAACTGGTTTGTTGCTGGTAGTTGTCATGTCATTCCACCACAACCGTAATCTTACGAGGGAATTACAGGAGACATTTTCCATCATAAACTGAGTCAGATCAATTCACAGCCTACTAGATACCCTCATCCGTATGCAGGAATATTAAACAGCAAACCCATTGAAGAGGTAAGATAGGATATCACAGAACGCTTTCAAATATCCACCATTAACCTGGCAGTTAAACCACATGTCTTTTTCCCAAGCATCCGAGAGATTCCTCCTGAGATGCCACCTTTAGGGAACACGCTAAGAAGAAGTTTGTTCCTTACAGGAAGGATTGTTTGCAGGCCAGCTGCAGAAGAGATAGAGCTCAGCATCCATTGGAGTCCTCACGTCAGACCAGCTATAAACGACAAGGGAATAGGAGAAGAGGTTCCAAACCTAGAGGTTGGATTGGCTGTATATTCTGATTTCACAACCAACCATCCCATCATTTCTGATCCTATCGACCTGGCTATATCGATGGACTCAGATTTACGTCTACTGCCTTTGAACATAACACTGACTTGGGGAAAATGTGCTGCAGATCACGTCCGACCACTGGATTCTCAACATCATTTGAAGGTGATACAAGCTACATTTTATCACCGTCCTCTACTTATATCCTGGCCAGTAGGCCAAGGACTCCATCTGGAAGGGACCAAACTGCAGGCAGCCAAACTAGCCATTGGGACACTATCAGAGAAAAGGTCCATTTGGAGACTTCAAGACACAGACAGCAGCAAGGGTTTCTACTCTCGAGTGTTCTTAGTACCGAATAAGAACTCCCAAGACATAAGGATGATTATAGATCTCAAGCTCCTCAACAAATACTTCCTAGTCGCTCCTCCCAAGTCAGATTGAATCAATTTCAGAATCTTCAGAATGGAAGATTGGCTCATCAGCTTAGATCTGCAAGACACCCATCTCCATGTACCCATTCATCAAGCACTGCAGAAATATCTACGCTTTGAAGTCAATGGAAGAATATCTGATTTTCAAGTTTTCTGAGCTCAAAAGCACCTTGACTCATGACTCCCATCATCAGCTTCATCCGCCTTCATCTGCACAACTATGTGGATGACTTCCATGCAGCAGATCAAGACAGATCCCAGCCCCAACAGAACATGACTTTTCTTGAATTTCTCACACATTCAGCCAAATCAGAGGACATAGTGTACATTGGGGCCTGTTTCTAGTTACAATTTGGACATCTCAGTACCCTGCAAGATCAATTTGCCAAGACATTGACTATGATCAGCACAGTAACATCTTGCCCCACATAATATCTCCGATGGTGGATGTCTCTTCTAGGAAATCTAACACCTCTCTAACATATGACAAATAGAGGAAGATTGATATTACGCCTTCTCCAGAATTTGAGTAATTCTTTGAGATCTCAGACCATGGATTCTGTCATCCAGATACCAGATGACTCGAGTCAGGAATTCAATTGGTGGAATTACAGAGATCATGTTATGAGGGGCATTCCTCTAGTATTTCCGACACCCAGACATCACCTGGTAATGGATGAATTTGACTTGAGTTGGGGAGCCCATATCGACGACCTCAAGATCTAGTTCTTATGGAAGGCATCTGAGAAAGATCTGAAGGCAATTGTGTGCAGGCAATCTCAGGACCTGGAAAGTTCAACTATCTCACTCCTCAGTCCTCATAGCCACTGACAAATACCACAGTGGTAGTTTACATCAGGAAGCAAGGAATAAGCAAGTCCAACTCTCTGATGACGGAGACTGAACATCTTAGTGGACAGCCTTTCCTGCCTGGGGAAAATAGTGGCAACAGAGTGGTCACTTCATCCTGGAAGCATTCAAGTGGATAACATCGGTAAGAGACACCCCACATTTGGATCTCTTTGGAACATTCCGGAACAACCAATTCCAGTGTATGCCTTGTTCTTTGAAGGCTGTTAATTGATGATGTATACGACTGCCTGGTTGTCACACCAAAGTTTCTTGTTCACATACTTGTGCCCCCAGAGTCACAAAGCCATGAGAATAGGAAATTATTCAAGTCATGTCATGATTTTGGTGAAGCCCTTTTGTACCCAGGAATGTGGCCACTTTTCAATATGTCCATATGCCCTTAAAGTAAGCCTGAAAGCCATTGCAACCTGAAACATCAGTGTCTAGTTCTAGTTGACCAGACACCAAGTCTGCATCATGGAACACTGAAACATTATTATAGTGATTAAAGAATGTAAGCCATACCTTCAAGTCTTCCTTAATCCCTGATGTACGTTTTACCCTCTGGCTAAGGTGTCATACAAAAAAACATGTGTTTAAAGCTCTTACTCCTGTAGAGCCTGACTGACAAGCTGCATTTTGCCAAGTAGTGATTTGACTGCATTGTTAAATATCACACAAATAGTGACTGACAGATTGGATTGTGATTTGGTTGTGATACACCATTCCAGGAAAGAACTGAATTTCTCAAATAATGCACAAGAAATAGAGCAGCCAAGACATTTGTTGACATAGAATATTTCCCTGAAGTACAAACCTAGCAGCTGGAAATCTTTTGGTCTGTTTGAAAGTAGCCCAAATGCTGATTTAATGTCCAGCTAAGCTAGGAGAGCCCCTTGTCTGAGATTCTAGACCATAGTGACTACTTGATCAAACTTCATGTGCTGAAAAGAACAAAATGCATCATCAATGTGTTCATTGACAGAGGAGCCTTGGGGATAAGAGAGGTGATGAATAAGCCTGAAATATTTTTAAAACTCTTGACTAGTGTGGCATGATGTTGCCATTATCTTTTTAATGGGTAATACTTTGAGACTTCCACTAGGATGTGTAGAAACAGGACCGCTTACCCTACACCTAAAAGTATTCCTTCTGCAGATTGCTGCTGACAACTGCAGGAAGTTGTAATGTTGATGTTAGATTTTTGGCTTCTGTTGGAGCTAATGCACCATTGTACTGCAGATTTAAACCTTGAGAAAAAACTTTTTATGACAATTGTGATGCCTGGATATTACCCTGTTTAACATACAAATTGAGCCAGAACTTTAGATTGAAGATTTTAATCAGAGTTATGGTCAGTGTGGCTATATTTGCTAATTGTTGCTTACCTCTTGACAACTACAAAGCTAAAAGAAGCTGAAACTTTGCATGCATGATCCCAGATATGGTTTTATGTCTTAAATTACTCACATAATTCCTATTTTAAATATGGCAGCCACTGTATCCATATTTGAAAGTGCTATTTTCCCCATAAATCAAACATCTCTACATTCTTTGACTTTCATGTACCAATGTCCCTTGATTTCCTCATTTTCAATATTCCCACCGCAAGTTCATTTATGTGTTCTAAGCAATGTCATCTCTTCAATATATGCTCATAAAATTCTGGTTGGACTTTAATATGACAACGTCTACCATGTGTAGAGATTTCTTCTGCATATTCTTCCTCACTGTTGTGTGGCCATTTTGATCTAATATTCAAGTAACATCAGGTGAAGTACAGAGCCTTGTGGCTCTATTTCTAATTAGCACTGAAAATGTCTGCTGCATATATTTGAAAATCTGTACACATTATCACTTTCATAAGTATTTACTTGTTCTAATCATTATAAATATACTCTCTCCATAACAATCTTACCCCCAATTTGCAGGAAGCTGCTGTTGCTGCTATAAATGGGATTAAAGAATATTTGGATGACAGTATAATCAAGAAGATGGTTTTACCTCGAGCAAAGTCACTCTTCTACAGATCTACAAATGTAAAGGTATTGTGCAACATATAATGCATACAGCAGAGCATTCAAAGTCTGCCATTATGTACTATCTACCATCATACACTTTTTTATAGTAATAGACCAGTAAGGCTTAGACAATGGTGTGTTGTCCAGTGTGATGTCTGTCCTGCCTGACATATGAACTGATGTACTGAAGAATAATATGATGAAAACTCCATAATTTTAAATGATTGTGAACATTAATCAATTGTCATTTTAGATACTTTGAGGGTCAAACTTTGTCAGGGAACCATACAATCATGGTTCAGGTTAAAGTTCAGTTTACACCCAATTCCCAGAGTGTTGCAAATCTTATTTATGAAGGTAAAAGTTTAGGCTTACTGGTGATGCTGCAATGCAACTTTAAGCACCAATCATGGATTTATCATCAATTACCCCAAGAACCACAACCGAGCTGCAGACCCACATGGGAGATGACTGTTACAAGTTTCTTAGTTCTCTGAAAACAAAAGGAGGAGACTAAACCTGTATGTGCAATATTCCAAGAAGAATTGGCAGGTACGTATTTTAATTTTTTTTATTTCTGGTGTTATGACAGATCTCATTTACTCCAATAAGGAATTATTTTTTAGATAAATTGAAAAAACCCAATTGATTAATAATGTGCGTGTTCAATTATATTTTTTATTATTTTAGGTTTGTGATGTGATATTGATGCAACAGGCACCTCTACAGTTGTGGTTCATAACTGTATCGACCCCAAGCTTAGACCATTCCTCATTTACAAAAGACCCAGGCTGACATTCAACTTCTGGCGATGACTTCCTTCTGCATACCGACCCAGACAACAGATTCATGGTATTCTCCACACAAGAAAATCTACAACACCTGGCTGCTGCCAACACAAACACAGGGAATTACAGATTATGTAGATTTGTTTAGATGTATTGCGGAAAAAACATCACTTTTAACAAATACAGAACTTTTTCCCAGGAATATGTTTACAGACTTTGAAGTTGGTGCCCCGAACGCTGTTAGAACAGTGTTTCCTCAGTGTGAATTGAAGGGCTGCTTCTTTCACTTTGGTCAGTATGTGTGGCGAAATGCATAGGATTTCTATGTGCAGACAGATTGCTCAAGAGTCCCCAAGATCAACCAGTTAGAATGAAGAGCAACAGCCCTGATCTTGGCTCCAGAGCAACACCTAGATGATGTCTGGGTAAATGGGTACTTCATGTTCCTGGAGTGTAACAGTTTGCTGAATGTATGACAGAGTACTGAGTGAATGGTAATAACAGCAGATCTATGTGGAACTGCTTTGACACAGAAGGTCCACATACGACCAATCACGCCGAGGGGTGGCACTCCGATATGACATCAATTCTAGGTTCATCCTGTATGAATATCTATGACTTTTTGATAAATAAGGCAAAGCTCTCTCATCTTTCTTTAGCTCAGTCTATAGACAGATAGATTTAGACTGTATATGCCCATATATTTTGAGATTTGCTACATGTATAAAATTGGCACAGTGTGGGGACACCAGCAGACATACAAGTGTGATTGGTGAAAAGTTAATGCTGATTTGAAAACTTAATTACATGATAAAGTGGTCATTTGTCCCACAATTTCAGTCCAGAATCTGAAGTGAAGGAGTCTGGATTAGACAGGTTTTACTTCATGATAAATAAATGTAGTAAATTCAGGACCATAAATTTGGGGAGGTTTTGATAGAAATCCAGATTAGCCGGAGTCCAAGTTAAACCGATACCACTGTAAATTAGCCAATACACACTACAGCTTCGAAGTTCATTCCCCTTACACACACAGGCAAGGCCAACTTACACACACAGGCAAGGGCGACTTACACACACAGGCAAGGACAACTTACACACATAGGCAAGGCCAACTTACACACACAGGCAAGGACAACATACACACAGGCAAGGCCAACTTACACATATAGGCAAGGCCAACTTACACACACAGGCAAGGGCAACTTACACACACAGGCAAGAACAACTTACACACACAGGCAAGGCCAACTTACACACAGAGGCAAGGGCAACTTACACACACCAGCAAGGCCAACTTACACACACAGGCAAGGACAACTTACACACACAGGCAAGGACAACTTACACACAGGCAAGGCCAACTTATACACACAGGCAAGGGCAACTTACACACACAGGCAAGGGCAACTTACACACACAGGCAAGGACAACTTACACACACAGGCAAGGACAACTTACACACACAGGCAAGGACAACTTACACACACAGGCAAGGGCAACTTACACACACCAGCAAGGCCAACTTACACACACAGGCAAGGACAACTTACACACACAGGCAAGGACAACTTACACACACAGGCAAGGCCAACTTACACACAGGCAAGGACAACTCATACACACAGGCAAGGGCAACTTACACACACAGGCAAGGACAACTTACACACACAGGCAAGGACAACTTACACACACAGGCAAGGGCAACTTACACACACAGGCAAGGGCAACTTACACACACAGGCAAGTCCAACTTACACACACAGGCAAGGACAACTTACACACACAGGGAAGGCAACTTACACACAGGCAAGGACAACTTATACACACAGGCAAGGGCAACTTACACACACAGGCAAGGACAACTCTCACACACAGGCAATGACAACTTACACACACAGGCAAGGACAACTTAAACACACAGGCAAGGACAACATGTGATGCAAGCCATGTTGCAACCCCTCACCACACGTGTGCAAAATGTCACCGCACATTTTGACAAAAGGTTGGTCCCTTGTTTTTCAGTTTTGCAGATTGAAATGTCTAAAATAGATTGTGTATTTTTGTTGTTGATACCTCCCTTGTATGCTTTTAGATGTGATATCAAACAATGTATCCATCATATATTTATCAATCCCATTTATCCTTAATTCACGAAATCAACAGTCAATAAATGGTTATTTGTTTAGAAAATTATTACTCTTGGAAATGTTATTACTATTGACATATTTCGCCATTTAGTGGCTCTAGGACACTATACACAATTATACTTAATTAAGGTGAGCACTTCTATGGCATGTGTTTATTTTATAACTGTCCTCAATGACTTTCTAGTGGCTGTAGGTTTCTGTACCTCTGATCATCAGGCTGAAACAATTTGGCTGGACTGGTTCTTTTTTTTTTTTGCACAGGACAATTATTTATTGACTGGTTTCACATGTTGATTGGGGCACACCATAAGGAGGTGCTACAAGGACAAGACTTGGCCAGTTTGGTTAGAATATCAGCCAAGTGCATATGTCAATGTATCAGGGATAGGGCAAACAAAGGCATTATCAGATAAATATAAAAAAAAGTGAAGGAAGGGTGTCTCATGAAACACAGAACCCTGAGACTAAGTATATGTAAAGGAACTGTGTTTGAGACAGGCACACATTTGCATACATTTGATATATTCACTTCTAAAATTGGAAATGAACAGATGTTTATTTAATGGGTCAATATGTTTCTTTACACAATATATTTGTACATGCATATGATAAAAAAAACCTTTCAAATTCTTTAATTTAGAAGAGACATAGTACATGAATTATACATACCCAGTATTTGAGTTTGATTAAAGATGCTGAAACCTCATCAACATATTCCATATCGGTGATCCTGTGATGATGCAGTCATTCCATGAAGGTGACAAATCGTCGGGCACCAGCTGGTGGTATTTGCTCCTCTTTGGTGGCCCCGGATTTGAAATGTTAACAGGAACAACACAAGGTCAGCATATAGTGGTTGTGTCTTGGGTGTTTGTGCCTTACCTTAGCTGCTGAGGCTAAGTGTGCAACCTTCCCATCCAAGGTTGCTCATTGTCCTGTGGTGAAGGTCAAGATAAGCAGTATTGCTTGCGGAGAATAGGTGGATGGGTGACCATGTTTAGCAAGCATTAATCCTGAAAGTTTCTAGGACTTAGGTACTGCCCCTGCATAGTTTTGTGTGAGAAAAAATCTAATTAAAAAGTGCCAATGTATACTACCGACAAAAAATATGGGAACTAATGAAATGATAGTTAAGGTGTTATGCAAAGTGTAATGAGACGATCTTGTCTAGGTGTTGTTGTTTTAGGCCTGCACGTCTCATTGCATCCCCACCTGTTTGACAATACTTGTCCCACAGTTGGGTAACTCGGGATATTGATGTCTCCACTTCCATAACACCCACAATTATCCTTTTGTCTGTTCATGGAGATACTGTCTTGGAGGCAGCATTGTTAAGCATGTACTTAGCTCAGTTGCATTAGTGATTGTGATAGGCTCACAAACTTTGGCTTTTATGTGCACTTGCATCACATGTTGTTCATTCATGATGTGAAAGTTCATTGTGATTAACTGTTGTGTTCAGAAGTAATACCACAGTATTGTAAATGTTCACCTCAACGATAGCTACATTCAAATCAATAGTTCCCCCCAATTTTGTTGATGATAAATTCTTGTGTTTAATAGCTTTCTTTCCATTGTGACAAACAAGTGGCTTTCACTTTTTACAAGTTGAAGCAAAGTACCTTAAAATGTTATAAGGAGCAAATAAGTGTTGAAAGAGAACTAGATTCTTGCTTCTATGTACTGTCTGTCGGTTCATCAATAAGTCACATTGCTGTCTGACACTGCCTGCTAGAGCTCATCAGCTCCTGTAGTCACATTGCTGTCTGACACTGCCTGCTACAGCTCATCAGCTCCTGTAGTCACATTGCTGTCTGACACTGCCTGCTAGAGCTCATCAGCTCCTGTAGTCACATTGCTGTCTGACACTGCCTGCTAGAGCTCATCAGCTCCTGTAGTCACTTTGCTGTCTGACACTGCCTGCTAGAGCTCATCAGCTCCTGTAGTCACATTGCTGTCTGACACTGCCTGCTAGAGCTCATCAGCTCCTGTAGTCACATTGCTGTCTGACACTGCCTGCTAGAGCTCATCAGCTCCTGTAGTCACATTGCTGTCTGACACTGCCTGCTAGAGCTCATCAGCTCCT